CGGCAATGGTTCCCTCGGCAAAGGGTTCTAGAGATTCCTTCGCTGGAACAAGGAGACGGGTCCTCGCCCATGACTTGGGGTGAGACGAGTATGATCAGTGGAAGTGATCGCCCTTTTCGTTGCGGAACCCCGTCGCCCCCTCCTGGCCGAATTCAAGCTCATGCGATGTTTCGTGCATTGGTTGATCGTGTTGCTGTCTGGGCAAAGCTATGGGTTCCCTCCATCGTCATCGACTCGACGGGTAGCGACTTTCAGCAGTGGATGGATTGGTGTGTGGAACATCTTTCCGAAATTCTGAGATATGAAGGGTTTCGAAATCTGCTGAGTTGTCCAGTGGGAGCTGCCTCGGACCAAGCTGCGCGCTGGGAAATTGCTACTGCGATCTGTCTCCGTGGATGGCATAACAGCGCTCAGCATAGGGAGGCCTATTGTGTCTTCCTTTCTGAACGGTGGCGCATGCATGACAATCTGAGGATCAGACAATTACGACAGCGAGGCATACAGCACCTTCGTCAATTGGGCTGGCAGGCCAATGGCGCCAGCATGCCGCCAGAAGAACGCCGCCTCTCCGAGCAGGCTCGAGCGGATCGGCCACGTAGTGAGCTGCCTGCGCTGCTTCCTCTTCTTCACCATCAGCGATCTCCGCGGCTTGGTGCGGTAGCGGGCACATTCACCCCTGGCGAGCCCTTTCCCGACAACTCCAGCTACAGAGTGGATGGTGACGGGTTGCCTATACCTACGGACGTGGAATTAGTGATCATAGAAGAAGATGCGCACAATATGAGCTCATGCGCCGCGGGACCGCCCTCGCCTTGGTCTATCGACGGTTTGGAGATGACCGCGGAAGAATATACGCATCATTATGGGCCCATCCTCACGGACGAAGAATTTGTGCGCCAGGGCCAAGAAACGGTTCGACGATCTCGTGAGGAGCCTCTTCCTGCTGGTCGGGATCCTACGGCTGGTTCGTCTTCCTCGCCATGGCCTGTGCCTGATGAGGCCCAGTCCCCAGTGTTTCCTCGCTCGCCGCATTTACAGGATGATGTGCATGTGCAAGATGAAGTGTTTGACTCCAGGTCGTCAGTTGGGAACTTCGATCGTCTGATGGCGGTGCATGGGTTTGAGGCGATTTATCATGATGGGACAGGGGTGATACCTTTGCCTTTACTAATGCTGAGGGTTCAGGGGCGGCTGGGCGACCTACTCGCGCTTTGCCACCCCCTCCCTCGGTTGCAACTCCTCCAGACCCTTCCGCTGGTGATGGCGTGCCGACTCCTGGTAGTGGGAACGATATTGATTGGCTTCCTACCTTACGCTCGGTCAGCTCTTTTGTTTACGCTGTGCTGGGTGAATCTGGAATGCTTAGAGTCCCTGGACAGAGAGGGGAATAATCTTTCACGCTTGTCCAGCTCCAACGGGCAATCGACTATCTGGATGCGAATTACTTGTTGTCAGCGGGCCACAGGGGGCTAGTGATTTGGTTGCTCAGCCATCCGTCTGTGCTCTTAGAAGAGACTGGTGGAGGTCCTGGCTATCCTCCTCTCGACCTTGATGTGGTCCTTGACGATAGCGCCCCTACGGACTTCGACGAGTTGATGCTGGCTGAAGCTTTTGATGCCCCTAGCGACATGATGGAGGACCTGCCTCAGGACGACATTCATTCGCTGTTGAGTCCCGAGTCGGAATCGGACCAGGGGGATGTGTTCATGGAGATTTTGGCCCAGGCAGTGGCTACTGGGCACAGTCCTGGATGCAATGATCGAGTCAATAATGGTGCGCAGTCAGATGATGATCTTGATGATCGCTATGTGGCCGACGGGTCTGCCGAGTCGCTGGCGGTGCGCGTGGTCCTTGCTCAGGATGCATCTCAACCCACCTATGAACCCGATCTCCCATGCTCCGCGGGTTCCTCCTCTCATGACTGTGGTCTTTCGGGGCAAGCTGATGCTTTGCAGAACCAGGTACTGCTTGCTGGCACATCTGCGGGACATGCCGCGCTTTTTCATGTGGTAGAGACAGACCCTGTGCAGGCTGGTGGCGATGAAGGGCATGCCGCACTTTGTCAGGCTGTATTGGGGCTCCAAGGTCACGAACCGAGGGATCAGGCTGAACTCGAGCTGCAGGTTCTTACGATTCAACGAGCGCTTGCAGCGGGGGGGCATCGCGTTTTTACTAGGTGAACGCTGTGGGCACATCCCTATATGTGTTGGCGACGTGGATCGGCACGCCTTAGAACCCAACACGGCGCATGCGGTCAGCATTTTGGTGCCTGCGACTCTACCTGCAAATCCGAGCCAGATGTATGGATCGGCGGTCACCTCGTGCTGGTCTTCGTACCCAATCGGCTTTCAGCGTGAGCGACCACCTGGACATTGGGAGTCCCATCTTGCGACGTTTGCTGAGCTGTCGGAACATCAAAGGTGGCAAGCTCTGCGGCTGCTTCACCACTTGCTCCCCAAGTTGACGAGGGACAAATTCATCGAGATGGACTGGGTGCTTCGTCACCCTGCTGCTTTTCTTCTCCCAGCTGCCGACAGTCATGGTCTCTACGTTCCTTCTGCTGGCGCAGTGGAGGAGGAGGCCGGTGTGGACACTCTCAGCCTGGGCGGAGTTTGCGCCCCTCCACCGACCCTCGCTGCCGCATCACATGATACTGATGGCGTTTTTGGTGGAAGTGAAGATGATATTCTCTTGGGAGGTGGAGAGACTGGGTGTTGTGCTGATGCGTATACGGCTATCCTTGGCGGCGACGTGCGTCCTCCTCGTGATGATGTTGACCGTGGGCGTTCTGGTCATGCCCATGTACCTCCAGCAGAAGATGCTGCCCCTCATTGGGTAGGCTATAGCCACTTTGGTGCGGGTGAGTTGGGGTCCACGTGTGCTGGCACTGGTCCTGTGGGGCGCTCCTCGAAGGAAGCTGGGAAGAATGCACTTGGCTCTGGAAGTGATGGTAGTCGTCCATCGATCTCGTCGCTCGCACCGCAAAGTTCTGGAGTTGGACCCGATGGTGATGAAGCTGATGCCCTCCCAGGAGGTAGTTGTCTCGGTCACGGTGAAGCTGGATGTGAGGCGCTTGCGTTATTTTCTGAAGGTTGTGAGCACCCACCTCTGGTTAGTGCGGGCCAGGAGGGTTCTGGTCATGTTCAAGTACCACTTGCGGGAGTCGCTGCGCCTCAAGGGGTACGCCCTCGTCAACGAGGTACCTCCAACTGCGACAACGACAGCAACGTGGAGCTCTCCGTCGAGGTGGGCATGATGACTGGTGAGGGCCTTCTTGGTCTACATACTGGAACAGTGAAAGCGGAAGCGGGCATGGATGCATTCGGTGCGGGAAATCGCGGCAGTTCTCCCTCGACGGCAATGGGCTTACTTCGTGTGGATGATGATGTTCCTGCGGCAGGTGATGTTTATGATCTTCATGGTGGTGGAAGCTGTGGCCACGACACAGATATCCATGCCGCGGAAGACCCTGCGCTTCCCCTTCACGGTGGCGTGCTCCCTGCGCGAGATTGTTTGGACCGCGGGCTTTCAGGTTGTGGACAAGTACTACCTGCCGAAGATGCGGCTCATCAAGATGATGGTGAAGGGCACCGTGGCGAAGACGGTCGAGACGCCAAGTGCTCTGGTGGTGGTGGCAGTCAAGGTGGTGCTGCAGCTGATCTGCCTAGTAGCGGTGCACCTCATGAAGGTGAAGCTGGTGAGGATCCTGTGCCTCTCCCAAGTTATGGTGTGCTTTCTCCTCGCGAAGATGTGGATCGTTTGAGTGGTGGACGTGACCAAGTACCACTAGCTGATGACGCTGCGCTTCAAGTGGAAGGTGCTGGGCGCCCTGGTGTTTCTGATGGTGGTGTGGACCATGGAGGTTCTGGTCGAGTCCAAGCTCCGCGCGATGGAGAAGCGGAACCACAAGGACAGCAACCACAAGGACAGCAACCACAAAGACCACAAGGGCAGCAACTACAAGGAGATGACTCGGGCCGTCGTGATGAGAGTGAGGTGTGGCCCACGGGTAATCGCTCTGGTTCTGCCGTGTCCCCATCGGTGACTAACGTGGAGTACGCGCCTGTGGCTGAGCACACGGTGGGGTTGGTCGGCGACGCGAGCACGGCCTCCCTCCCCTGCGACTTCAACACGGAGTTCGCCGTGGACGCGGACCTGAGGACTGGCCCCGTGGGGGCCGACGGCGGCGGCGGCGCGGCCGGCGCGGCCTAGACAAAGACGTGCGCCCTTCAGTGGTGTGGGATCCTCCTCCTTTTCCTCCTCGTTTTTTTCCTCCTCCTCCTCCTCCTCCTCCTCCTTCTCCTCCTCCTCCGCCTCCGCCTCCTCCTTCTCCTCCTCCTCCTCCTCCTCCTCCTCCTCCTCCTCCTTCCCCAGGATCAGGGCAAGCGGCGGCTGGATTCGGCGGAGCGCCAGGACCTGGCCGTTCAGGCACAGAACGGTTCAGCGCGTCTGCGGGGAAGCGGATATGCCCAGTCTCATTTGTAGTAAGGGCGACTCCCATGCACAGTCTCGGTGGTGTGCGATTCAGGGGCTCTGAAGTGACGCTCGTGAAATAATGACCAAACGAATATTGGCGCGTGAATGGAGAAGCCATGCCCGAGCACAAAAGGCTCCCACGGCGAACAACTCGTACGCGGAGCTGGCCGGCGGGCAGTGTTCAACGCTTGTGCTGTCCACTCTCGGCCGACCCAAATACGACCTTAATCCTCCTCCTCCTCCCCTTGCGCCTCTTCCTCCTCCCTCCTCACGAATTGGCCCCTGGACCTGGCCATGGGTGCATTCCGACAACAATTTCGAGGCGGATCCAGCCGTGCCCGGAGAAACCTCCCAGAGGCCCGCAAACATCAAAATACGTCCAAATCCCTCGACACTCCTCGAGCCTCCTCCTCCTCCTCCTCCTCCTCCTCCTCCTCCTCGCCCTCATCTTCCTCGCCCTCCTCTTCCTCGCCTCCCCCTGCCTCCCTGCCACCGCCGCCGTCGTCGTCGCGCGGCGCCGGCAGGAGAGGCGGACCGCCGCGTCCTCCTGCGAGGCGCTTGCCGAGCGGCTGGAGCGCGAGCTGCGGGAGGAACGGGGCCGCTCGGACGAGCTGCAGAGGATGCTTCTGAGACTGGAGCACAACTCGTGACCTGGAGCGAAAAGCGCGGCGGCGCGCACGATCTTGAGATCTCGGCGTGCTCTTCTTTTCGCACGGGGCGCCTTCGCTCCGTTTCGGGCCCCAGGGCCGTCACGGGTCGATCCGGCTCGAAAAATGCAGCTGAAGGATGAGGTCTAGGCGTCGTGGTTCCTGCCGAGGTTTTCGTGGCGAGTTGGGGCATTTTTGTTCGCGGCGTCGGATCTCAGGGAAGGGGAGGGAGTGTTGCCAGATGTGGCGCTCGCCCGAGGTCGCCGCACCTTATCCAGGGGGGCCCAGGTGGCTTTATTCTCGGGCGGTATACCCTCTGTCACGGAAAAAGCCAGAAGAACAAATAGGGATGGATTACTCATAGAGACTATGTGTCTTTGCCTGTACCCTACGAACACTTTCCCGCGGGATTCGCAACGTGGATTGAAACATGTAATAAGTTTACAGATTTAGAGGGCTGGCACCCCTCGCGAGGCCTGGAGGGCACCCGGGGCTCCGAGGTGGTGCGAGAGGTTGGGGCCACCCAGGCCGAGGGAAGCTTGTGGCAGCCGCCGAGCAAGGGCTTGGCATCGCTCGGGCGTGTGTATTTCTCCTCGGCAAGAGCCATCGAGGAGCGTGTTGACTCATGTTGTGGAAAAATCACCCACGAATCCGAACAATGCATAGAGATGGACGTCCGAGCGATGGCGAGAGGGGGGCAGGGTCGGTTCTCCACTGACGCCGAGCTCAGCGCGCGCGTGCGCGCGCGCCCTCGGCGGCCTTTCTCCTCCTCCTCCTCCTCCTCCTCGTCCTTTCGCTCCTCCTTCTCCTCCTCCTCCTCCTTCTCCTCCTCCTTTCCCTCCTCCTCCTCCTCCTCCTCCTCCTCCTCCTTCACCTCCTCCTTCTCTGTCCCTTTTCCTAAGAGATCATAGCCAGAGTCCAGTATCCCCAGACAGCGTTTTTGAGCCAGGGTGGCGCCTAAGAGTGTTCGCGCATTCTCCTGCTTCTGATCCGCCTGCGCCTTCGGCGTCGTCGTCTAGCGTTTCTTGATCATCGTCGTCCTCCCCCGCATTCACGTAATTCTCCTTCTCGCCCTTGCCCTCCTCATTCCACTACACCTCCTCCTCCTCCTCCTCCTCCTCCTCCTCCTTCATCATCATCATCATCATCATCATCATCATCATCATCATCATCATCATCATCATCATCATCATCATCATCATCATCATCATCATCCCCCTTCTCTCCTTCCGCTCCTCCTCCTCTTCCTCCTCCTCCTCCTCCTCCTCCCCATCCTGATTTTTCTGGTCCTCCACCACCTCCTCCTCCTCGTCATCCTCCCCATCCTGATCCTCCTGGTCCTCCACTCCCTCTTCTTGATGGAGGTAGGTTTGCCCTTGGAGCAGGAGTATCCCTCGTCCGGCAGTGGCCTCATCAGGATGCCGCGGTGGTGGCTCCAGACCTCTCGAGGTGGCTCGCGGACACCGCGGCCTGGGTGCTGCACCTCATCCTGAGTCTGGTCCTCGTTGGGTGGGTCATCCCTCGCGGTCCCGCCCGTAGGCAGGCGCATTCGCGTCCGCAGGTGCCCCTGCGAGCGCGGGTGCGGGCCGCGCTGGGAGGTCCAGGCCCGCCAACCGAGAGGATTGCCTCGTGCTTGCGGCTCCTTTCGCCAGCTGAACCACGCCCAGCCCCGGCGTTGAGAAACGCCGAGGGGGAATTGCTTTCCGCGGATGCATCCACAGAGGCCCTGTGTGAGCAACTTCGACTTCAATCGAAGTGGCCGGGGCACTGGGATGAGGAATTCCATCGTACCGTGGAGGCTCGTCTTCCCTCCTTGGTGGGCCAGGCGCGCGCCAATCGCGGGAGAGGATTGCATGATGAAGCAATATCGGAGGCGGAAGTTGTGGCAGCACTCTCGGCCATGGGGTCTACTGAGGCCACCACGCCCGATTTGCTCCCCAGGCTGCTCTATCCGCTGGATGATGGGCCCCTGCGTGAAGCGGTGTGGCTTCTTCTGCGGCTGGTCGGTCCCGGGTGCCTCGCTGTTCGGCCCGAGGGCTGGCGAGGCAGTTGTGCAGTTCCCCTGCACAAGGCGGGCCCGGTGGACCAAGGCGAGTCTCTCCGCCTCATGATGGCAAAAGCTCACTTGGGGCTTCTCCAGGAGACGATCCTCCTCCAGCGCCCCGGGCCCACGGTGCTGAAGTCCATCACTCCTGGCACTCAGAGAGTGGCTATGTGAGGGACGTGGGCGACCCGCAGCTCCTCCTGCGCGAGCGGGCTGCGGAGGCCGCGGCCGCGGGCAGGCCGGTCTGGGCGTCGTCTGGGGAGTTGCAGGAAGCTCTTCCCCGGAGGTGGCGGGCCGCCCTCCCAGTCCGTCTCCGTGCCTCGGCTGGCGTCTCGGGTGGGGCCTTCGCGCTGCTCGCGAGCACTCTCTGGGCATCGTGCGGACGTGTGCATTTTTTCTCGGCGAGAGCCATCGAGGACCATCTTGGACCATCGAGCAAAAAAAACACGCACGGAACCAAAAAATGCACGGGAATTGGACGTCCGAGCGACGGCAAGTTCTGGAGAAGGACGTAGTCCATGTAAACTACAGTGGTGTGCAGACGGTCGGTGTTGTGGAGGGCATCTCAGAGGGAGGCACCTTTTGGGCCCGGGACTTTTCCGGAGTACGTGGAATCGCTCACGGAGGACGTCCTTGCAGCAGGATGCGGGGTCGGGGTGGCACAAGCGATCCCACTGGGATCGCTTCTCTAGACCCCTGGGAATCCATTCCCAGGGTTTACCTTCCTGCGCGCGTTTAGTGGCCGTGGGCGCCCTTAGTGGGCGCCCTTAGTGGGCGCCCTTAGTGGGCGCCCTTAGTGGGCGCCCTTAGTGGGCGCTCTTAGTGGGCGCCCTTAGTGGGCGCCCTTAGTGGGCGCTCTTAGTGGGCGCCTAGTGGGCGCCCTTCGTCGACTCAGTGGGCGCCCTTGGTGGGCGCCCTTCGTCGATTCCGTGGGCGTCCCTAGTGGGCTCCTTCAGCAGGCGCCTTCAGTGAGCGCTTACGTGGGCGCCTCGCCCTACGTGGGCGCCTTCAGTGAGCGCCCTCAGTGGGCGCCCGCAGTGGGCGCCTCCAGCAAGCGCCTTACGTGAGCGCCCTACGTGAGCGCCCTACGTGGGCGCCCTAAGTGGGCGCCTTCAGCAGGCGCCCTAGCAAGCCCCCACGGAATTCAAATGAAATTGTGAATTTATTAGAAAGCGATGTTTTTTGAATTCCGTGGAGTTCCGTGGAATTTTAGAACTCTTCGGAATTCCATGGGGTTCCTATGCAATTCCGCGGGGTACGTGGGCGGGCGCGAAAACGGGCGGGAACGCGGTAGCGGCAGTCGCGCTTTGGGAAGGGGGAACTATTGCTTTTCAATAGTGTGTTTCAAGGTGTTCCTCCATTTCCGTGGGGTGCGTGGGCGGGCGTGGGAACGGGCGCAGACACGGTAGCAGCAATGACGCGTTCCTTTTTCGTGGGGCGCGCGGGCGGGCGCGGGAACGGGCGCGGACACGGTGACGGTAATGACGCGCTTGGGAAAAGGAAAACGATCGTGTTTCATATGTTCTGGTTTTATCCCCTTTTCGGGGGGCACGCGGGCGGGCGCAGGAACGGGCGCGGACACGGTAGCGGTAATGACGCGCTTGGGAGGAGGAAACTACAACCTTTCTTTGACGTTTGGGTTTTGACTTTCTTTTCGCGGGATGCGCGGGCGGGCGCCGGAACGGGCGCGGACGCGGTAGCGGCAATTGCGCGTTCGGGAGGGGGATTTTTTGTTATTCATTGATTTCTTTGGTTCTAATTTGTTCGTGGGGTGCGCGGGCGGGCGCGGGAACGGGCGAGGACGCGGTCGCATTCCACGGGAATTGCCCGGGATTCCCTTCGGACCCTCTGGGAATCGATTCCCAGGGTTTTCAAAAACAATCCCGCGAACGATTCCTGACAATTTCTGTGTATTCGACACCCGTGACAATTCGAAACCCAGAATTTGGAGTGTTCCGAAAAGCACCCTTGGGATCACCTTCGGAATCCCTGGGAATCGATTCCCAGGGATTGCACAAGCGATCCTGGGACCATTGTCGGATAATCCCTATCTATTCGACATCCCAAAAAACTTGAAAGCCAGAATTTTGGATGTTAAGAAAAAACCTTGGGAGCGCCTTCGGAATCCCTGGGAAGCGATTCCCAGGAATTCCAAAAGCGATCCTGGGATCATTTTCGGAATCCTTGGGAAGCGATTCCCAGGGATTCCAAAAGCGATCCTGGGATCACTCTCGGAATCCCTGGGAAACGATTCCCAGGGATTCTGGGGGTGATCCTGGGATCTTTTTTCGAACCCCTGCAAAATCGATTTAAAGGGATTCCGATGGTGGTGTGTGTGTGTGGTGTGGTGTGATGTTTCGTATTGTCTCGTGGTGTCCCGTGGTGTGTTGTGCCCCGTGGTGTCTCGTGGTCCTCGTGGTGGTTCGTGGTGTCTCCGCGCGTGTGGTGCGTGCGTGGTGTGGCGTGGTGTGTGTGTGTGTGGTGTGGTGCGGCGTGTGGTAGGCCTGGTGTGATGTGGTGTGGTGTCCCGTGGTGCCTCGTGGTGTCTCATGTCGGCTCGTGGTGTCTCGTGGTCCTATCGGTGTCTCGTGGTGTCTCCGCGCGCCTCGGTCCCAATGCCACGACATGCCTTGGCATGCGCTGCAATGCTCGGTTTGTTCCCCGCGATGCCATGTTATTCCTTGCGCTGCTATGCTATGGTATGCAGTGCTTGGTTGCGCAATTCTACAACATGCAAATGATGCAATGGTGCTCGATAATCTTCAGCGCCATGTTACGCCATGGTATCATATACATCGCGTAGTATTCGGGATAACTGCTTCTTTCGACATCTGAATGTGCAAACACAGCGGGGCTCTACGCAATTGTAAGGAAGGGAGGTGCAAAACGTTAGGTATGACGCGAGCGAACCGAGCTTGTCCGCAGTCCTTTCTGGTCCTTGCGCGCTTATGTTTCTTCTGACCCGCCCCCTCTTCAGGAGGGATATGGGGGAGCAGGAGCATCGACGCGGCGGTGACCCCAGCGTGGGCGTTCAAGGTTGAACGCGCCTCGGGGGGCATTTCGAGCCCCAGGACCCAGAGACACGAAC